CGACGGACAGGGCACCAAGAGGAGTGACGAGGATGGCATCGGTAAAGGCGTATGCGACGAAATTGCAGATTTCTCCCACAATCATCAAGATCATGCCGGTCCACCACCATGCATTCTTCAGATAACCGTAGCCCTCGCCAGGGGCCTCATTGTACTTCTCGTTGGCCTTCAACAGACCGACCTTCTTGATAACGAAGGAGCACCCGATGAATGCGCCAGATGCGACGGCCAGGGAGATACCGATAGCTTTGTACGAGGCTGGTCGCGTTGAGGTATCTGATGAGGAGGAGCCCATTCGGGCGTATATTTCGTGGGCTGCCACAAGCAGTTCTCCTGATTGTTCCATGGCGGCGTGTGCAACGCCGGCGACGTGGTCGCCGGGGTGATGTATTTGGAGGGGTTTCCGTTACTCGAGATTCGTGGTCATTCGCTTAATTTCGTTACAATGCGCGAGGGTCGGAGGCGAGCTTTCTGAACAATACAGGGAGGACAATCGTCATAGGATACTCGTAGTCAAATGGGACGGAGTGATCGCACGGGTGAAGCGTCGGCGAGAAAAGGTAGGTAGGCGGCGTCAGCAGTCGGAAAAAGCGATTGTCAACAATCTTGGCAAAGCTTCAACAGCGGCGGGGATCGGGTGGGTTTTGGGCGTCGAGCCGATATGGCACGGAGGCGTGCAGGGGTGCAACAGAAGCTGAGAGTGCTGTGATCGGTATGATCGGAACAGGAGTCTGAAGAACAAGACCTCGGTGACGGGGAGCCTCTTTTTCGGGGAGACTTGTGGGAATTGGTGAGGTCGGGGGGCTCGAAGGAGGCTGTGTCGAGATCCGTCGAGTAAGAAGGGTTCGCGCAGTGGGAGGTAGGGTTCAGGTGGTGTTTATTACAGCGGGAGCTTGTCTTCGCCACAACAGCTTGCGTCAGCCCGCTTGCATGAAGAGCTGAGGAGGTTCGTTCGTAAAAAAAGGTCGTGAATTCGTTAGGTCGAGATCAGAGAAAGCGAAGCTATGTTGTTCTAGGACATGTGCAGGAGCAAAGAATACACATGCAGAACAGCGCAGACAGGCTCGAGTTCAGTCGGAGTGCAGGCGGACAAGGCACGGTTGTGTCGCTGCAGGAAAGAGCACCTCTCTGAGAAATCAGGCAGGTGACGAAGCGGCGGGAGCTCAGCTGATAAGAGAGACAGAGCGTAGGTAACGGGGAGAAGAAAAGAAAGTGACAGACCCAAGACATGAAATTGCAGAAACGGACTCGATGGCTGGGTGGACAGTGGGACATTCGTATGGGAAAGCGCAAAACACCAGGGCAGCAGCAGCGGCAACAGCCAGACAAACGTGCGCTGAGCTGGACTGGACTGGACTTGGATGGGACTGCGGGCTGGGATTTGGGATGGAAAAGAACACGACGGACAGGGTGGTGCTGGTCTAGAAGCCCGGCCTTTTGGCGGTGCTGATTGGACACAAACGACTGTGTGGGTGGACTTTGGTGGGGGGCGGGCTCACTGTGTCTGGTTAGCGCCTTCCCGCAGCGCGGGACGCACCCTGTTCTTGGAAAGAGATGCAGTGGAGCCCAGGGGCTTTCCTGCCACCTGTGTCAGTGTTCTGCATCCAGTCCCGTCGCTGTGTCGTCGTTCTTTTTACCTTAGGTAGCCTTCCCCGGTGCAGTTGCTGCGATGCACCCGTGTGAAAATAAAATGAACTGCCACTGCCTTCACTTGTTGGTAGGCAATACGTTACCTTACAGACAGCTGAGGTGGATAACATTTTGATAGGTACCTCAAGCCCTCTCTGGCACTTTGTCCTCCTCCAATGAGGTAAGGATGCATATCGCGGACAGACACCGTCGTCGCAACACTGCATTAGATTGACAGACAAACCTTCACAAGCCTTGCCATGCGCATAAGGCAACGACATGCACACCACATCTTTCCGTCTTTGGTCGGACCATCCCACCAGTTTCCGTCCAGGGAACGAGGGAATGCGAACACGCTGCTTGTGCCGCACCAACACCGCCATCCCCGGCAGGCTTGATCCCAGAGGCGGTCTCGAACACAGGCCTTGGTTCTCCCTCGTCCTTCTTTCTTCGCCACGACAAACTTTTGCTGGCCGTACTCGGGCTCGAACTGGAACTAGAACTGGCACTGGCACTAGCAGGTGCTGCAGTCCGTCCCGTGTCGTCGCCATGTTTGTTTCGCAATATTCTCGAAAATTATGGACTCGGCCACCAGACGAAGGCGCCAACCGCGGCCTCTCGACGACGTCGCCCCGTTTCTCCTTGCGACGCCTGTTTTGCTCAAGCCACCAACGCCATCACCTCTTTGGCTGTCATCGCACATGGGGTTCCCCCAACTCTGAACTCTGATACGATGCGACACACGTCAATCCGCATTCAACAGCAGTCAGTGGCCTTTTTGCATCTGTGTGGGTGCATACGTCGTCCATACTCTGTTCAGTTGGTTCCAAGATTCAGATTCAGAGAGGGCAGCGCTCGACAACGTCGCATCAAGCATCCCGGCCGGTGATGTCAAGGCCAGCCGGGAATGTGGCTCTCTGCAACGGGTGATAGGTCCGTGTCGCTTCAACGTGCGACAACCAAGTCCAATTTAGACCCCTGCTGCCTCGCCCTCCATCGCCCTCCTCCTCGCCGTGGCAACGGAAACAAGCCTTGCGCCAAGGTCAACAATCCATTCCAGCAACACTCGACTCGACTCCATCACCACGTTTGTCCCGCGTTGTTGTCTTATCCGTGGTTTGAGATGAAGAACTTCAACACAATGGGTGGAATGACGGAAGAGGAGCACCACGCAGCTGAGCTCATCCCAGGAACAGCCCACTTGGCTCATTGAACGCTCGCCGCTGCTGGGATGATGCACCTCTGGCTCAACTGCTTCAGCTGAGTGTGCCCAATCGACCCCACCACCAAGCCCGACCTCCATCATCCCCAACCTAGTCGGTACGTACCTCCCTCTTCCGCAATGTCACTCCGCCAAAAACAGCGAGGATTCGCTCATCGCCTCCCCCTCAAGCTGACATTCATTGCCAGCTGTCAATCATTGGCTGCCGACTGAGCCCCTCCACCTCCATTGACCCAGCAAGCAAACAAGCAAGCGAGTCAACTCCAGCTGCACGCGCCATGCGTTGGCCACGACCGATTCAAGGGACCCTTTCACCTGCACCAACTGTGTCACAATCCTCGGCCTGCATCTGCCTGCCATGCATGCCAGACGGATCTCTTACCGGCGCTTCCCCATTCTTTCAGATCGCTGGGATCCGACGACCACTCTCGAAGGGATCTGCCCGCCGTCTGTCCAGTTCCGCGACGGGAAACCGTCAAGGGCCTCGACCAAATGGCAACCTCTGTCAACATCGCCTGTACCAGAGTTGTTCGGTGTGATGGCCTTTCGCGAATTGGAGGCCTTCGAGGGCACGGTGAAATACGACTATCCTCATTTCCAGATCTGATTTGCGGGATCCCTCCAGCCCCTCGGATGAAAATAGGTCGCACCACCGTCTGCAGTAAGCCATCTCAGCACGGTTAACACGGCGGGATGGCAGAACGCCTCAATGCTGGTCTAACCTCCGTCTGTCAAGCTTGTTGGCATAGCCTCTGCGGCGCGAGCTGCACATTAACAGCCTCTCGATGCAAGCCTCGGGGACGCTGTCAGCAGCCCGGGGCTTACCATGCAGATGGGTACGCGTACGGGCTTGTATCACTGCTGCTGGGAACACGAGTTGTTGAAGGCATCTTTGCCGAGGGGCATTCTAGATGCCTGTAGTCAGACGCTCGGTCCAGCGACTCGACATTTCACCTGCCAAACAAGTCGGAGCAGATATTAGTTGGGGAATCACAAGATTCCATCCGCTGTCGGTGAATACCGCGACCAACATCACTCTCCAGGCTGTTTTGGTCATCAATATCTCCAATTACCAAAAGTTTGATGATCAGCGGATCCTGTTTCGCGCACAGGACGGATCTACAAGAAACAAGGCGACATTCCGTGAGGCTCGTGCGGGTCCCGGGATCGGCCCTCCACGGCTCTTGCCCGCCGCGGGACGTTGGAGCCGCTCCCGAATGTCTCGGCGTTTTGACCGACCTCAACAGTATCAAGAACGTGAGTCGCCCAGTACCGGTGGAAGTTTCAGCAATCAAAAATTCTCTTCGAAACATCTTGGGGCACAATGCCGACGCCTTGGCCGACACGAGAACTTCCAGACGGCTCGACTCCTCCGTTCCGGATAATTGATCGTCTTGCCAAGCCATCAACCCGCAGCTCTACAAGTCTTGGCAGAGATGGCATGCCAGCCCTACGAAAGGAAAGCGGCAACAGTGATGACCGAAAAAGATGCTCACGATAGGTATTCGTGTGTCAATCAAACCCTCGGCAATTCTGGCCAGATTCACGGGGAGCCTGCCGCTCTTTGGATCTGTTGACCAGCGCGTGACCAGAAGGCGATCTCGTTGGCCGGGCTAAGGTCTTCTATGCTGCCCAGCAACACCCAGCTGTTCCTATTCGCCATAATCCGCCAAATCAGACCTCGATTCCCAAGAACACGAAAACTCAAAACCAGGATAATCGCCAACCTCTCAGACCACAAAAAGACGCGATCTTGGGCATCAAAGTTGGAGCAACCGGCACTGCCGGAAGCTCATCACAAAGCCCCACTGCCCAATCACATCAATTGGGCTGGCAAACTACAGCATCCATCGGCCAGCAATCATCCAGCCACCGATCAAGTTCGGCCGTTACAAGTTGCACTCGGCCCGCGGAGGCTTCCGTCGCTCCGACCATGATCGGTGGGTTGTCTCCACATCCTCGGTCTCGTCGCCGAGGCCAATGTGATGGGTCTGAGATGACGCTCGATGTTCCTTGCCATCTGTGTACGTCTGCCTGAATATTTTTGATTGGAAGCTAGCAAGCTTCGTACCTCTGGTGACAACATCCAGATAGTCAGCCTCCGCTAAAAACATCATCCGAGCTGACACTACTGCACAGGCACCTCGTCTCAGTGAATGATCAGCTCTTGCTCCCGAGGCTGCGTTTTGAGAAACTCCCCTTGCATGATGCCATCGACATAGGAATCGCCTTTGAAGTAGTATACTCCTTCAGCTCGAGGTCGTAGGACGATCGGTGATCCAACTCCCCACACCAGGGTTACCATATCCCCTGGCGCGATCCCGATATGACCGAGCCCAAACATGCCTTTTCTCGTCTTGAACAGTGTTCGAGAATCACGGCTAACGCTAAAATACACCGTACTCCGAAGTTCGTCCGCAAGAAGTTCTCTCTCCTCAGCCTTCACAGGCTCGATGCTCCTCAGCGCTTTGCCATCCCACATCCCCTCGTGGCGGAGAACGGTGAGAGCCTCTTGCGACAAGCCCTCCACGTCAACAGGCTCTTTTCGCATGACTTTGCGAAGCACTCGGGGTACATCGTGCATCTTGCCGTCATTGTACCTCTTCCAGCAGAATTGGAACAGTCCCGCGTACCCATGAAGGACGGTCCTCCAGACGTAATCCTCCCCTGGGCCAGATTCCGGTCCCAAACCAACAAAATCAACAACGAAATTTGCCCACCGCTCCGGCTCTTTAATTCTGGTCGGTCTTGGAGCCGTTCTCAGCCACTGGAGCACTTCGGTAACCTCATCAACTATACACCCCCGGCGATGGAGCGCGCTGCCCTCTCGGAAGCCCGGAAACACGTCTCTTTCAGGCTGGGATTTTCCTCGGGCAGCGGAGAAATACTTCTCAACGTAGTTGATTGGGTATGGCCTAACGCCAGAACGGCCGATCTCGCGGAAATCGGGAACCCACGTGGGCAGCTCCCCTTCCAGTTCTCCAGGCTTCACGGAGTCGACATTAAAATACGGTTCACCAGAGCTTTCCAACATGGCCCTTGTCGCCTGCGTAAAAGTTTTCCCGAACGACTGCGTGTAGTCTGGTTCCATGCCGTGCTTTTCCTCTTCGTCTAGGACCCCGAGAAGACCAATGAGGAGATCGCGCGGGTCAGACGCAGCGTAGAAGGGTCGACCCGGCGCGGCGCCTGTCTCCCATAACACACGTCTCAGCAGAGGCTCACGGCGGCCTCGACGAAGCCTTCGGACTTGGAGTGCTTTGATACGATGTAATGTCAACTCGAGTCTCAGGGCGCCAACGTTCCCACCGTACCACATGGTCACTACTGCCGCCTCGAACGCATCTAGCGAGACTCTCCTGCCGCCTACCATCACCACCGCCTCCCGCGCGAGTGCGACTTCTTGTATGATCCAGATCCTGCACCAATAACTTCGATGCAGAACGTCAGATAAACCTGGAATGAGAACTTTATCGTTTTCGTGATACTCCGTGAACAAGTCCACGGCGGTGGCGGCTAATTTTCTCGCCGGGCCCATTCCGAAGGCGCCGTACTTAGCTTGCCACGCCGGATCCAGCCGACCCATGACACCGTTGCGCAGACTAATTATCTCCCCATTATTGAAGGGCATCTCAAGCGCACCAGAGGCATGAAGTCGGGGACCGTATTTGAAAATGAGGTTCATTGCCTGGTCCGTCTCCTCGGTGCCGGGTCCGAGCCAGATGTACACCATCGCTGCATTGCTAAAGATGTCGCGCATCATGCCGACCTGATGGGTCTTCTCTTCAAGGTCGGACTGCGCGATGCATATGGCGTCGATCCAAAGCCACGAGCTGACGCTGTCCCTCTCTAGCTGTTGCAGAGCATGGTGCAGGTTTTGCGTGACATGAAACGGCTGGCCGTTGATCTCGATCTGCTGCGGTCCAGATGAGCTGCCCCAGACATATGAGAGCGCGCTGTAGGAGGCTTCCTCGTCGTCCAACGACACCGTACGGAGCTCAAGTGAGAGGGCGGAAGGCGCACGAGGCTGCCGGAGGCGGACCAGTCTGATCTCGCGACGGTCAGGGTCGAGGTGGTTGGGAACAGCCATTGATTACAACTAAATCGGCTAGGGGTATGTAACGTTGAGGTGTCCAGCGTAGGTTTTACAAGCAGTATGAGATCGAAAATTTTGAAGGTGCTGAGGCAAGGCATCGTGTTGGAAGTGAGATTGACGTGTGTTTGGGGCATCAGCTAGGCACCAATATCAGCGGCACTACAACGACCGTGATTGGTTGCTCGCTCGAGCGTTATATCCAACTCCAACGACAAGTGTGCAAATGAGTAGTACACTTGATTGGGGATGTTCTCACTGCCTGCTTCTCCTTTCTCTGGTTGTGGACCCATTGTCGACGAGGACGGCTGGATTTGAATACTGAAAGCCCGGAAAACTACCAAGCCAAGAAGTTTACCATTGAACTTTTTACTCACTTCAAGTTCATAATTCCATCGTGAATCAACCACTATGTTAAATCGAGGATTTATATAACTGGACTCCGCCTGTCTTAGGAGGTGTTTCAAGTCGAGCAAAACGTAGTATTGGTAGGTGATGGCGAACGATAGTGGCTTAAGGACAGCCCTTTGTTCCACACGATTAGTCATTGCTGTTGAACAACATGCATATATCAACTGACAAAGTCACTGATATGATTAGAGACGTACGGAATCAAGAGAGTTTCATTGACTGCTGTATAAAGGTATGTACGTCGCAACTCCATCCAGTCGGTCATCTCGGCAAACAAGCTCGCGCCCTAGAGTACGCACCCTACCCCTTACGCCCTTGGTCGAAACTTTCATTGATGAACGTTCCCCAACTCAAAAGGTTCATTGATGAGAACAAAATATTGTAAATGTTGATTAATCATTAATTCGTTCGAAAACAGCCGGTGGGATCGTATTCGGTCCTGCACGGAGTCCGAGGCCTTGACATATTGAATACTATCCCACGAAAGCCTAATAACGTTATCCTGACGGTTTCAAGCTTTAAAGGCGAGCTGGACATCAACGACACCGCGAATGAGCTCCTCCAAAGACCTCCACTTCATCCCAAGAATCTCGTCCGCCGCTTTGGTCACCGCGCTCATGGTCGGCGCACCCTCGACCGGGGGTTTGAGCTTGAAGTCGGCGGCGGGATAGAGTTTCTGCACCAGCTCCGCAATCTCGTTCCAAGATGTCTTGACGCCGGAGAGGACGAATTCCTGGAATTCCGCCGGGACGGGCGCCGTCAGCGCGCGGTAGAAGGCCTCGGCGACGTCCCTGACGTCGACTAGCACGGGAGGGAATGTGACATTGCCTGTGCGGACGAAGTCGAGGAAGAGATAGTTGATGCTGTCGGCTTCTTCGGCCTTCTTTTGCAGGAGGCTTGGTCCTGTCACGAAGCTGGGGTGGAGAGTCAGGACTTTGAAAGAGGGCTTGTTCTTTTTTACCCAGTCCTCCGTTGCCTGGTGCGCGAGAACCTTGGAGCCGTGGTATTTCTTGGTGTGTCCTGGGAGGCCTTCGGGAAACTCCATGTTCAAGTCAACCGGTAGGTCAATACCAGCGCGCTCTGGAACTTGGTTAGACAAATCATGCACAGATGGAAAGCATCCTGGTGAAGTTACCTCGAACGACTAGGCCGTCGCGAGCCATTGAGAAGAGGGCTTCCAAAGGTAGCAACGCGAGGATGGAAGACGTGATCAAGACCCTCTTGATGGATGGTGTCTCCTTCGCGGCCTCAAGAACCGAGAGCGTGCCCTGGACAGCAGGATTGATGTAGTCCTTTTGGAAGTCGACGCCCTGGCCCACCATGGGCGATGCCACATGGATCACGTAGTCCACGCCAACGACAGCATCGGCAAACGCATTCTTCTTTGTGAAATCGGGGATAAGAATGAATTGGAGCTGGTCCGCGAATGCTGAGAAAGCTTCTTGGAGTTTTTGAATTTGTTCTTCACGGCGAACGCTCAGACGGACGCAGTAACCTGCCTTTAAGACGGAGGATGCAATCTGAGAGCCGATGAAGCCGGTGGCTCCGGTGATGAAGATGAGCGAGGCGGACATGTTGATAGAGTGAAGATGCAAGGCGAGAGATGTATCATATCACTCGTGTAGAGATGATCAGAATCGAGAATGAGTGAGTTACATGTCATGCACTTTATACCTTTGACATCAGAGACGCAACAACAGAGTCATGAACCCCTATCAACCAGCCATCGCTTGGCAATACCATCTTTTAGACGCCGATATTATGCACTGAGCAGGACCTCATACTTTGACGTTGGCAAGCTTCCATGTACCAATTCGTCCGAGCTCCCCGTGTACAGGGATTCCTCTCTACCCACTCTCGAGCATTTTGTCAGAGCAATGAAGCCAAAGATTACTGATCAAGCAGCGGTGGCTCCGGACAACACAAAATCACCCAGAACGGCGACCGCCCGTCGGAAATATTTATAAGCGTTCCTGGGGCTAAACTTTCCAATTGTCAATCTGTTCCAAAGCTTACAAAGTCGGCCGTTGTGACCGTGATGCTTCCGCTCATCCAGCTCATACAGGATATCCCAGTGGGCGAAGCTTGGCGTAGATCTCTTCTAAGCTAGCCGGCAGTACATGCCCATCTTCACCACCGTACTTGTTTTCTGCTTCTTTGTTATGCTCCTGTTGACCTTCTTCCTCGTGGTTCTTTGCTTCACTTTCAGCACCTAGCTGCCAATACTGAGGACTCCGCTGCCCCTCGTATTCGTAGATCCCTCCCCCAATCTTGCGAAGATAGCCCCCCGTCTCGATTGATGGAAGCCAAACTGGATAAGGCAAGATGTCTCCAGACTTGCTCCAGCAGAGGGGAAAGCGTTCCTTTTGAGGTGGCTGTGGCCCGTCTCGGCTTGCTTCCCCGGGGTAAGGCAAAGCATCACCCACAAACATCTCCTCCACAAGCTGCCAAATTCGGCGTCGGTTGTGCAATCCAGGAGGTACATGAGAGAGGTCGCTGTGATAGCCCGTGGTGGCCATTTGATGAACTAGTAGTCCCCCACGCTTAGGACGGTCTAGTCGAAGACCGTAGTCCACCCCGCGACTGAGTTGTCGGACTAAGAGTTCCCAGTCCCATTCAAAGTCAAAACCACCGGGGCAAATCTCAGCATCTTTGGCGTCGATAAGTGTTGGATCAATGTCCCACAGCCATGGAAGAAGACCACGACGGCCGGCCTTGAGTGTGTTTTTCCAGATCTTCTGTGGTAGAACTCGCGAAGAAACCCTAGGCAAATCGCTCCCCATTGACGTGCAGATCTGGTCAAGGACCTCAGTTGGCATCGCAGCCAAATCTGCCGTCAGACGCGTAGCGTAATCACTCGCAAAATGAGCCTTTGAGGGACATTGCTGCAGATTTTTCAAAAGGCACTCGGTTAGTCCGTCGATCTCTAGAGGGCTGCTCCCCAACGTCTGCAGACCTTATGTTAGTATCGGCCACGGTTGGGTAGATGAACTGTGTGATACGCACATAGAAAAGATTCGCCCTTGGGGATGAAAAGGGCCCAGGCCAATCAAGTCCAGGACACTCATGTGCCGACCATTCAAAGGAAGGTATGTAAAAGTCTTTCGTCCAAATCGTAAAGTTTGGTGCAAAACAACCTCCATGCCGATCTGCACACTTCATTGTTACTGCCTGCCTCCATCTCAACGCCATGAAAAGCCCTCGCAAATCTCGGATATGTGTCGTTTGTGATGTTTCGAAGACATTTTTCGCAATTTCCAGGCATGCCGTGTGAACCAACGCATATGCTCGGTTGTCGAAAGCCCAGTAACGGTGAGAAAAGCAAACCACTTTATTTGAGGTTTCACCCCACTTGTAGCTGCCGTCAAGCTCCCATCGGGTATATTGGTGTTTATCTTCGGGCTCTGCGGGATACACCTCGATATCGGAAGCTTGACGTCTTGGTCTGACACTGTGTGAATCTGGCTGAATGTTGGATCTCAAATCGTCGAGGCTGAGATACTCGTCTTCAAGCCCCGGAAGGATTTGTCCAAATTCATCATCGGGATCGCATAGCAAGCGGGCCTCGGCGAACCAATCTAGTTCATTGAAATATTCGGGAAGAGGCTCGTCTTCTGGGAGAGGAGGGTCGTTATCATCGATAAAGCAAGGCGTGCCTCTAACCGAAAGGCCACATATTTGACATGGCGACATTTCGAAATCCATAACGAGGGCCTCTTCTGACAGATTTGATATTGAATTTTGAATGCGAGTCAAAATTTGCGTTGGCTCTAGAAAGTGCCCGGGTTTGGAGAAGACAAGGAGACAGGCGAAAGAAAACAAAAGACGGAGATCATGACCAGAACAGGATCAGAACAAACAAAGTGAATGAAGTTGGGGGTCGTTTCAATATCATGCATTCCCCACACTAAAGGCTGAAGCTGACCGTCAGGCTTGGGGGCTGTTGGTCCAGGACACGCATGAATACGAATGATGTATATTGTTGGCTGAGCCGAGCGACTTAATTGCCAGCGGCAAACTGCATTGCTCCACATAACATCATGCATCTTCGCGAATAGTAAAAATAGAAAGGCTTGCGGGTCACGTCTTTCTGCGAGTTCTGGGTGCGCTGTCTGCAGCCTTTCCGAGGCGCCCGTTGTGTGTGTGTGATCAGCTGCGCATCTCAGGGGGTTCGGCCCCCATTTGCGTTCCAGGAGACCAAGCTCGACACCGGAGTCGGTGTTACTTCCCGTGGAATTGATCATGCAACTGCGGTTCATTTTGGCCGTCGTATGATCTCCATTATGACCCCAATGCTGCCTGGAAGTTGGCAGAATCAACATTGAATGACATCGACTTCGGCTAATTTGCGCGGAATCATTTTGGGTAGCCGAGAGAAAGCAGTTTGGCGATCGATTTCAAAGTGTCACGAACAGGACCTTGTAGTGATATAGCTACCAAACCACTGGCTCTGTGAACCGCTGGAAGCGTGGTGTTCTTGTGCTCCGTGACGGACGTTTAGACGGAATACCTTTTCTCGAAGTCCGTAGCATGATGAACCTGTTATACAACACCTACCCTGCCATCCCCAATGAAACATGTTGGGG